ATAAAATCAAATAATGAAGTGTATACTTGTCAAATGCTACTGAAATAAACTGAAGTGAAACGAAGAAGAATTACGTGTTTGTCTAAAACAGTAAATAGTTCATCGTTGAAAAAGTTAGCGCCATTTAAAGTGTTAAGATGACGTATGTACTCGTCAAACGCAGTTAATTGGTTAAGAGTTCTAGTTCCTTATTTCTCCAAATGTCTACAAATAGTAGATAAAATAGGAAACTCTATTAATTCTGTGATCCTTGAATGTGAGTTTTGCGCCACCAAAGATTTCAACGTTCCGTCATCGATATCTGTTAATCGATCTGGCTCCGGTTCACTCGGAAGAGACTGATATTTCAATAACACTTGGCAAATCAGTTCCGCGCTGTATTTTCTGATGCAACACCTTCATCGATAACGTTTCACATCTTTTTGGCAGTTGCCATGACATTATTATCATTCTGGAACTCTCAAACATCGCATGACAAACACGTTGTTTTGGTTTCTTTTTCATTTCAGTCGTACAAGAAATCGAACTCACACTCGATTCTAACTTGCTGACTGTTGTTTCTGGACAGTTATACTTGTAGAAATTAGAAAATACTACTTTGTTAACCTTTTTACTACTACGTGATACAGTCGAAACAGTTTTCTTAACGAAGCAGAAATTAAAAAGTCAAGATCCATCATAATGATTGCTTTACCATCTTTCTTTATCTCGATATATCCCCAGAAAAATTAATTTCTAAGATTATGTGAGAAATACTGACATCTGAATTTGGGTCAAGTAATGGTCAAAGTGTTAATATTGTTAATTCGCATTCCACTGTGTGCTGTTCATGTATCCGTATAGTTCCATTGCTAGCTCCACCGTAGCTAAGAAGTTAAGAGGTTGTGGGTCGCTTGGAATTTCTCATAAAGTTTTTAGTCCAATATCGACACCGGTAATTGCTTCTGACTTAGCCAGTATAACCGTCCACTGACAGCCGCCATTAAAGAAGTTTAAGAGAACAATTTGAGGGACACTTGCATGGTCTAGAGATGGAGTATGCTATTTCATGAATAAAAAGGAGACAGGGAAAATTTAAACAAGTTTCTTTTAAAATGCTACTTTTTAACTGCCACGTTACCCACACGTGGGTTTATGTTTTATATAAACTGTCAAATTAATTTTCGTAATGATGTATTCTGACGAATCGAGTTTTGTTGGATGTACAAGATACAAGAAGGATATTATAGCAATTTACAAGCAAGAATTTTAGCTGTTTAATTTCTGCTTCTGTAGGAAAATTATTTCGACTGTATGGTAATTTTAATGAGTATTTCTTTAGTAGTTAACGTGTTAAAGTTGGTTTCATATATCATTCACATATTTTTCGTTCATTTCACTTGAAATTTAGAGCAGATACTTTTCCATGTGCAAAGTGTATCAGGATACATCTCCACTGCTAGGTTCAGTACACTAAAATAAGAAAGAGAATTCATGTAAGTGTTTGTTCTAGCTGACCTTGTTTCCGAGTTGCAGTCGTTTTTGTATTGTACTAGTTGTCCACCTGCTTTGACAGAAATTGCACCAAGTGACCACCTTTGGCTCGGATACAAGCGTCTAAACCCTGTTCAGCGAGACAATGCGGATGAACAAAACATCAGTGCTCTTCCTATATTAACTCTTCATCTATAAATAAATAAATATTTAACAATTTCTTAAAAACTTTGTTCCTTTGGGTATTTTTGTATCCAGATGTGTCTTTATTTTTATCATATCCTTGCATAAATAATCTTTCTCAATTCAGTCACGCCCTCAGTTTTAAAAATACACCTACACTTGAGCAATGCAAAAGAAAATTATATTTGCAATAACATTTCAAATTTGTAGCTAAACTAGGGAGCATAATAGGGTAAATAAGATAATGTAATTTGTTTTGTATTTATTAATCTGAAGGAAGCTTGAATAAGCTATTCTTCAAAACAATGCAAACATCAAGAAGTCTATTAATAGGCTAGCAATAGATAGAATGTTAACTATTCGAAGAACGTGAATTCGACTTTGTTCCATTTAAACGGCGGTCGCGTGCCTTTGTTTAGAGTTGCTAACCCAACTCGTTGAACGAACTATAGAAGTCTTGCCATTGACCCTCTGACCCATTCAAAATTTCGAAACTTTGTTTACGTTTATTCTTTCGTTTCCTATACGTTTCCTTCCTTTTCTTCAAAATTCCCAGGTGTTTATGTTTATTTACTCATGTCTTTCGTTTGCTCTACGTCTTCGATCAAATGTTCCTCTAGTTGGCAATCAGCAATTAGGAAAACCTTCCGCATACAGATGTCTTGCCAAAGCGGCATTGCTCTCAGGAAGACCGTAGATTAAACGCGTGTCTGCCATTTCTGTATTCTTGTAACCTGCCATTATCAATTCAAATGTAAACTATCACGAACCTGTATTAAACTCCTTCCACGTGCACAGCTGTTACGAATGAACTGGATCGATACAAAAACATTTACAAAGCGGAGTCTGCACAATAGCCAGCAGTGATGTCATATGTAATATACCAAACGTTGTTTATAAACAGTTAAATACAGAGTTCAGTTTGGTAAAAGAATCATTTGAAGAAACGCTTGCAACTCGGAAATGAGGTCAAACGGGAGAAACGATTATACGAACTTTTTCCTTGTTTTAGTCTGCTGGATCCACTGGCGAAATTAAAAAGGAAACGATAAATTATAGTGAGAACGCATATCGTGACGTCATAAGGTTATGCAAACAGACAACAACTCAGGGTAGATAATTACAAGCACAATTCACAGTTCCTAACTTGCAGTTTTCTCCGCCCACTGACTCTCGATTGGAAGTTATCTTACGATTTCAATCTAGTAGAAAAAATTGTGTGTTGACACGTTGTATTAACTTAAACATATAATAAATAAGATTTACTTGTTTTCAGCAAACTCAGTTTTTGTATTCATAACTCCGAACGGATTTTTATGTAGTTTTTTAAATGACGAACAATATTTTTACGCTCTCTAAAGTTCACATAATAAAATTGCACTACAAAATTTGCTATTCATTCTCACCTGCTTTTCATTTTCCAAAAGAAACAAAAAATTCGGGAACAAGAATCATCCTTAATACTAAAACTATCAAGCAGTTAAATTGACTTTTTGAAATTCCTCTGTAGAAACTTCGTGCATCTATTGAGACTTCAACTGATTTATAACTTAGGTTGCATATTGCTATATCAATGTTTTTAATAATTACAAAACTAAGGAATCAGGAATGAGTCATTTTGATGCGTCTGGAATTTTCAGTGTTGAACCTCGGAGTACCGATGGTTCGGTAATCCCATCGACAATAGATTGGTATTAATTCCGAAGTGTCCAGGTTCTACCTTAAAAGTTTCATTTGTGACCTCGCCATATCGCGGCGACGACTGTACATTTTATCTAATTCTTTGCCCAGTTCCTAGATTAGACACCCCATCCCGTAAAGAGCACCACGCCTACCATCCAATCGCTGTGATCGTGTCCTCTAACGGGTCGTTGCTAAACAACGGGTCCCCTGGTTCGTACGGTGCATTCATGTTCAGACATGTAACGTTTCAGTTCAAAGAAACATTCTTGTGTCATTCACCTGTCGCATGTCAGAACTCACCTGAACGTGTCAACCGTTATAAATCATAACGACCAGCGAAACGTTCCGTGACTGATGATATAAGCAGGACTTTTGTCTGTGCTGGGATGTTAGACCTTGTCTAGATTGAAGGAAACTGTTCGCGAACAGCTCAGGAATTGCTCACCAAGAGAAATAATATTACATTCACACTGGAGCTCACTAGTTGATTGCAAGTACTGTAAAATCACTTAATGACTAGGCTAAGAAATGTAAGTCTTATTGGTCAACTCTCCTTCTTACGATGTTAACTTACCATTCGTCAATATGGTTGTATCTAACCAATCAAAACTATAACCAAAACATACAGCGGAGGAAGTCATCTCCCAACAGTAGTTGCTGACTTGTTAGATCAGTACTCAATATTACAGACATGTCCAGACAGATTTCTAGTTTGCGAACAGATCCTTGGATATACCGCTTTCCGAGCAAACACTGTTTGCTATTCTCTGAACTGTCCACACTGTTCGTGAACATATTTGCCAAGGTGCTCGCGAATAGCTGTCTAAACAGGGCTTTACATGTCTGAACGAATAGTATAAACGCACCCCAGGACCTGTTACACACTTAGTACTGCATTCGGGTGGTACTAGTCCAACGTTAACCTTTTTACCAATGTTAACTTATATATACTTCAAATGGGGTTGGGTTCATCCACCATTGAAGTTACTCATACCATTCGCCTCTCACGTTAGTTCCATCGGTCTCAGGCTTAAAAGTACACAGGGACAAGGAGAATCAACGGCACGCTCCACCTCGGCACGCGGCTCGACCAATAACAAGGAAGTGCCGAAACTGAGCCGCCATAACTACGGGTCGAGCGCTGCGAGTGGACGTCTCCGCTTGCCCCTGTGCACTTTTACGCCATGGCCGATGGAACTACCGTGTCGAATAGTAGATGCATCCCCATTTAACACGTTCGCTACTAGCGTTTATTTCGGCAAGGACCTCCTCAATTATAATATTTTATTTAATCCAATAAATCTTCTAAACAGAATATCGAAAAAATGAAACCGGAACGAGTTATTGAGTTCCTAAATACAATGCCGTAGCTTATAACTTTAAATAACAATATATATAAGATTAATTTCATTAGCTTTATGTAAAACATAAGATTGCGCCCGTCACAAATGTGTGACGCTGGTAGCGAACGTGTTAAACTACGTCTAAGATAGCAAAAAGGCTGACGCCAAGGAGCCGTTCGGTCGCAGACTTGTTAAGTACATAACTACCCTAAGAAAGACAAAGGGTTGACGTTAGACTAGCGCCGGTCAAGTGCGGTAAGTGCGCTGGCCTTTATTCGCTGAACACCGTCTACAGAAAGCCGTCGTTCGATTTTCCAGGGAACCCGGCGAGGCGATGAGATAACCTGGAGGAGAGGAAGCGAGAGATGTCTCGGCACGGTAGCGAGAGATCCTTAAACTGTCTGCAATCGATGCAACCGGGTTGCGTAGCGATCCACGTAAACAACAACGCCGGCGTCGCTCAGCCGACGGAGTTGGCAGTGTCGTCCCCGTCAGTAACGTGTAATGACGACAGTACGGGCAAGGTCAATGCCGGTGGCGAACTATGCGGCACGACAGGAAGCGAGTCGGGTACCGTTCCGTCACCCTCGGTAGTACCCGCCGCTGCACCCTCTTCGGGGGACTCCCGTATCCCGCGTCCCTCGCCCACGGGTTTGCGTCGCTCGGTGAGCTTGCGCATGCGGGACGAACGGGTCTCGCCACATCAACCACCACCACCACCCAGTACCGCGGCCACCGCGGCTCTGACCAGGCAGCAATACCAGCACCACCGCCGGTTGAACCTGCTGGAACACTATCATCCGGACCATCACACTTTCCCAATCATCACGGAGAATGGAACGGAGTCACCGCGACAACGATCGCTCGTGAGTGCCCTGCGTGTCTTTTTTTCTTATCTTTCTGTTATGTCGCCTGCTTTTTTTTCGGTTTGATCCTGTACCCGACCACCTGTTCATCGAAGATTTTACGGGGTTGAAATTCGGAACTCCTCGGGTGTCCTGGTCTAGCCCGCTAAGGGATACTACGCTGTATCCTTCCGTTCGATGCAGATCGCAGATGCGTCCTGGCGAACGCGTCTTATTGACTTTGCGCGGTTTCTTTCCTGCACCTTCGTTGAGATTGCAGGACGAATTTTGGTGGAATTGTTCGCTTATTTTGAGTGTGGCTTGAGGTACCATTTTTCTGTTGTATAACGAGTTGAAGTAAATACGATTGAATTTCGAGTTTGTTTTGTTTAATTTGATTTTGGGCGTCGATGTATTTGTATTCGACGGTTTTGGTCGATTGTATTTTGTGGGTAGTGTATCGAGAATACTAATAATTATTTGATACTGTTTCTTTTATATTTTTGGGGTATCGTGTTATACAAGTGATTGTCTACCTTCTTTGGGATGCTGCTTTGTACCAAACATTCTTAGATTTTCTTCTTTTTTATTTAATTTCATTTATTTTGCAGTACTGATGTATGGATTAGAAAATAGTATTTGTACTTAGCAGGATGATTTTTGGTTGACGTATTAAATGCATGTCAAGTGTACTAATGAATATTCTTAGTTTTATCTGAATCCTCCATGTTTTGGAGACATTTTAAACTGTGGCTAAATATGCTTAGGTTTTTATGCTTTTCTTTTATTTATTTTAAGTACTAAATAAAAGGAAAATTGAAAAATTCTAATCGGTGTCATCATTCTTTGCCATTTTTCAAGTATGGAACATTAAAATTGAAATGTCCCTCCCATGCTATGCAATTAAATTATTTACACATTTCTGTTATGTTACTGTTCTTCAATCTATTATATATATTTCAGGAATTTAATAAATTAAGATTAGGAAAGAAAGTCCAAGAAAAAGCTGATTTGAAAAGAACGTCAGATCACCTACAGATCAACAATTTCAGAAATGTATTAAAAGCTAACGTATACACGGATTTTTATTAATGAAAAATACAAGAAAATGTTTCTTAGACTAAGATTGAAAGAGAAAATACATTTCGATTAACATTCTCACGCAATAAAGGTCATATTGTCTCTACAATAACGAATATACGGGCACTCAGCCAGAAATTCCCTTCAGTGAGTTATAACTTGAAGAATAAATTTCGACAAACCTTTAACATGAAGTTCAGCGTTCAAGTAACCAATCCTCTTTATTATTCAATTATAATAAACAACTTAAATAATCTGCCACGTAAATGAAAAAAATTATCTGTGCAACAAAAATTAACACGTCTGTGTTATTTTCAGTGAACGACGGAAATTTCAATAAAAAAAATTTTATTTTGAAATAAAAATCTCAGATGGTAGACTTCGCAAAATGACACGAGTTTTCGGTTATAAAATCTTTTAACAAGAAAGGTTCAAGTATATCGATAATTCATTTTCGCATCTCAATTTGGTAATACTATATCTGACAATCACTTCAAAATTATTGAAGAGCTTCTCTATAACGTCGCGCTTTGATATCCACCTTAGCGTCCCGTTTCTAATCCCATTATCCCGTGGCTCTGCCCAACAGTAGATAGGCCTTCGAAAAAGACAGGAATAGCGATAAATGAAGGGAAACAGAACTAAAATAACTAAGAGGTTATTATTGTACAGTAGAACCTCGATAACTTGAACCTCTATAATTCGTAAAATTTCTATTCTCTCTTCCGCTTCGCCCTAAAAGTCTCTACAACAGAAAGTACCAAAATTGTATAAATCGAATTATTTGCCTCATATTTGATACGTATTTTACTTCTGCAACTTGAAGTCAGAATGTCTACCTTTCGAAATTCGCATTTGTCTAAGTTAAAACCTTTAAAAACCTTGCACAAGTCGAAATTTCGTTTGTTAAATCTTTTTTATCCGAAATCTCGATAATACGAAACCTTTGAGACTCAAAGGTCATCTATCTTACCTTACGATTTAACGCGGTGGGCGTCAAAATATCGTTTGAACGTGTAGCGTGATTTGTCTAACCATCAGTCTGTCGTTTGCATGTCCATGTCCTTACTAGTTGTTTCTGTACAAAAAGCAATTTGAAAATTTGTCTATCAGAACACACCACTACTATGTTTTATTATAGATGTTTTAAAGCTTTCGGTTTTATTGAAACAAACAAATTTTTTATTTTTCTTATTGCGAAATAATTAATGATTTACTCCATATTTTCTCCAAAAAAATATGATAACCGTATGTACTTACCATTAACTGTGCGACGTTACAGGCGATATCTTTCTCACGCTACGACTGAACCGCTGTATTTATTGTGAGAAAACTGATTGCGGTCGACAACGTTATCGGCGCTTTAATCGAGACAGACTGTAACACTATTTAAGATTAAAGTGTTCCGATCCTTTGTCTTGAATGTGAAATACTCATCGTACTGTTCCTCTGCATTTTTATCGATATCGTTTAACTGATTATTTCCGTTTTGCAAACATTTGATAAATCTAATGAAACGCGTTACAATTAACCGACTCTGCGGAAAAGTGTTTCAACTAACAACGTTTTTATTTTGAAAAAATTGTTGGTAGGCTTGAATTTTAAAAGTAAAATATGTACACTTAGAAACATTACAATGTATTATTATGTGTATATACAATGGTCTGAATTTATACATTTTTGTTATGTATAACGAATATAGATCGTGTATATTTTTACTTGCTTTTATCTCATTTTTAGAAAAGGCTTTATACTATTTTTGATCGTTTTGATAAAAAGAGATTTGTTAGGGAAGATAGATGCATATATTCAATAAAGTCACATGTGTAATGTGGACGTATACGTCGTTTTATAAGATCACTCCATAAATTGGTTCAAATTCGATTCATACAAATGATCCTTTCTTGCATCACAGAATCTTTTTATACAAATGGAATAAAAAAATTGCCCGTAACATAGCAAGAAATTGCTATCATTAAATAAAATAATAAAATGTATTTTATGTTCATTGTTTCAATCTTTCCACCAAAATCAGAAGAATTTGACTTGATATATAAGAAATTACGCGTAATTATTTTCTAAACAATCAAGCAATTTTTGTGCAATTCCTTACTTACCACACAAATAATTTTTACAGTTGAAACTTTGATTTTTTCTTTAAAAATGATATACTAATTTTGATAATTTATTCTAATAATATATTAAATTAAATTATATACCTCTTATATTGCATTCTTTAGACAGGATAAACTAATGATCTTAAAAGCTCCAGAAAATACACAATAACTAGGGAGATTACGCGAACTACTGCAATTATGCGAATTTTCATAAAAGATACTATTATTATTCTCTTCGAAACTGCTTATGTAACAAAATGTTGTTTCAAGAATTGACGAAAATGTTCGATTTTTCATTTTTCATTTTATAATTAAATCAGATGTCAATACTAATTCGCGTGAAGTAAAGCTGAAGCTGGTTCAAAACATTTATCAACCGATTAATAAGTTCATTTGCTTGAAAATTGTTTCCGTACAGATTCTGCAAGCTTCCCGTTTTTAAAGAAGGGTCGCCCATTTTCCTGCTTAATGGAGGTCTTTGACAGAATTGTCAGATTTTGCCTCACTTTCAGACCAGACTTTCTACTATAAAGATACGTGAAAGCTTCTGGGTTAGCTCGAGGTAAATCACCCTTAGCTCAACGGAACACAAAAATGGCGAACTTTGCATTTCGTATACCTAACTAAATACCAGTTTCTTGCAAATATCTGAATGTATGCTTCATAACGTATTCACTTTGTACTTTCAATGGCTCTATAAAAAACGTATTAATTAAAATTATTAATAGAGACAGATTAAATAAGACAGAAATTTCATTCGCTCGTTTAACGTTATTTTTTATGTAGCTTTGTCATCCAGGAACTACAATATTTACTGGAAAGTACTATTCGCACTGTGGATAGATAAAATCTAATTAAATGAAATTAACTGAAATTAATTTACTTAGTAAAGTAATCCCAGGCGGACGGCTCTGCGATTGAGATGGCTTGATCTCATTAAAACTATCAAATATTTTCATTTTCCTTAAGTGGTCTATTGAATCTTGTACAGAAGCTATTCTTTTTATAAGTGTATATTTATTTTCATGAATATATTTGGTTTTTTGGTAGGTATCAATAATATTTATGATGTAATAGTTCTTGTTAAAAGTGGGCCATCTTTCTTCAACTTACTCTGTAGTTTGTCCTATATATCATCTAAATATTGCAACGTTTTTCTTTAACACCTTGTATAGTGAACTTGGTTACTTCACATTCAAATTTGTTAATGAATTGCTTGAAAGATACTGTGCGTTGCGTTAACAAAATAACATTATTTTAACGTTTAACCATTATATAAGACGACAGACTATAAATTAATTTTTCGTCATCATTTGAAATTCAATGCGAGAGCAATTTTTCACGTAATCGATTTTCACCAGACTACCTTTTAATATCAGGCATCCAGTGTTCTTTATGCAATACGTTCAGCGCTCTACACTTTGATAAACGTGAAAGCTTATCAGTTAATATTAATGCCCAACAGTTTTATCAACTTAAAAATTTCATAGAAACTCTCATTAAAATGGAAACAGTGTGCCCAGCTATTCCTTTGCTTCGCTGAAAACACTTTCAACCAAAAGTTCAATTAAAAGATATATAGTTTCTCATTATTATTTAGCATTATTTTTAACATTTCTGACAAATGTTAATTTTTATGGAATCAAGTCTGGTTAAAATGATTCCATTTTGTTAATAATAAATTATGGATTCTTTCTTAACACTAGAATTACCGTACTAGTCAGAATGACTACTTTCGGTTTTCTTGTTTCACAATTACTGATATCTTAAAAGCATTCAATTTTGGAAATGATCTTGAAGACAAATAGTTTCACTTGAATTGTTGTTAAATTGATTTTTTTTGACTCAGCAGGTAAGAGCACTCCTTTAATATTCCCTTTCAAACTATGTAGCAATGTTGTATTTACAAATATATTGAAATATGCAATGAATTATTATTAATATTAAAGTACACGCATCACTTACTTCGTCTGCCACACCAATGGCACTTCTGTTTAGATAAGTGAATACTGCAAAGTAATGCCTTCGGCGGTAATTAGTGTCGTATGAGTTGAATTAATTGCATGTTCGTTGCGAAGTTCGCTGTGTAATTTAATCATTATTGGAATTAATCATCGAATTTATCCGAACTATAATTGTATGATGATTAATTAATAATTGTACTCTTGTACTTATATTTTCACATCTAAAGCTGCAATACAATTATAGTGTATTTGTTACGTTTAACACATATTTATTTGCAATTTGTTACAGTTACAATGTTTTTATGTAGGTACGATAATAATGCAAGTGATATCAACGATCAGGAATATCTGAATATAAATGTAGGTGCAAATTTAGGTATGAATTTATGATAAGAAATAAAAGTAAAATGATAGGCAAAATATTAAAAAAAAATTAAAGCACAATAACTTAATGGTACTAATAAAACAAAATGTAATGATATACTTTATATTGTATTAGTCTTTTAAAACCTTAGCGTGTAATTAGAGAAAGTTATTTCTAATTGAATACTAACCGACTTTATGACCCGTACGTAAAACAGTTGTTAAATCTATCTACATTTCCCATTGGTTATTTTCACTGTCCCATAAAAAGTGGCTATAGAAATACTTCACAAATTAGAACATAAAATTTCGCGTATTTTCATATTTTCAAACATTCATTTTACAATCTGCAAAGGTACCAATTAAAAAACTTTTCAATTATAAAATTTTAACAGTGTTCACAATCCTGCGAAAATGATTTCAATTCAGATATATGATGTTCACCAGAAATTATTCAAAAAAACAACATTTTAATTCTGATATTAATCCTTATGAATTTCCTGAAACATTTCTTACATTATTCTGTACTTATTCCGTTTACATTTAAACTCTAATTGCACGACCTATCCCGTATTATCGGAATCGGAACATACATAAACGATTACACGTGTATAAATACTTAATTTATCGAGTTATCTATAATTTATTCTGGTTTAAATATCTACTGTTCTCTGTTATCAGCAAAACATAATTTATGCAATATAGTAACCTTTGACACTCGACTTATTTTCAATGTTGTTCGATGTGAACTTGTACTTATTTTTATAGAAACGAACTAAAGTAATTTACAACGGTAAAATTCAACGTTTCATATTTATTTTATTTATTTATTATTATAATAAGATTTATTTTTCATAATATTTTTAAGTATGGTACTTTTCAAAATAAGTGACATACGTGTTTTAGAGTAAATTAGTGTTGTCAGCTCTAGCATGACATATAAGTCCTATAACAAATTCGTATTGTCATCTCCAGCATGATTTAAGGACCGCGGATTATTCCATGTTCGATGATGCAGAGCAATCTCTTATCGTGGATTATTCCGCTTGCGGATGCGAATGGGTTACTCATGAGTTGATGATTGTCTATTAATTTATTTTTCAGAGTCTCTCATTGACACCGGCTAGGCCGCGTCCTGTACACGCGGCCTCTGGAGGGTCAAGCACAGGAATTGCCGATGACAGCGATGTGGAGAGCGTAAAAAGTTACGGAAGTGCCTGCAGCACCGCGAGCGCCTGCGATCATGCTACATTTGCTTTTAACGGTACCACATGGTCTGGTAGATCACGGAAATACGTTGTTCATTGTTCGAATCATAAAGGTGACAATGAACAGTATCTGACACCGACTCAGAGGGCAGCTAGACAAGTTAGGAAGTTTCAGGTAAGACTCACGATTGACCGGTAGCGATCAGGAGCAACGTGAATAAATTATCATTCGAAATCGCTGAACAGAAATCGTTGAAAGACCTATTACATTTTCATAAGACTATGAATAGTCTTTTCTTAACACTTACCACAAACCGGTCAAATAACCGGTGTTAACATTTGACCAAAAAATTCTGCGTTTTCTTTCGTTGATTTAACCTTCTATCGATTCCTATATTGTCTAATTAATCAGTTTTCCAATGTTTCACGTCCCTTTTGTTTCTGTTTCGAAGAAAAATTTATTATCTAACTTGCTTAGCTTTCTTTTGTTAGTTATTTGACTGGTTACGATAGTAATAAGTATATACAAAGTCCCAGTACGGTTAATGTATACATTTTTCCATTATCCTGTCTTGACCTCTACGCCTTGTCCTTGAACTTTCCGGTCACTTCCTTTCTAGATCGATTCACGAGCATTGAATCCCTGCATTGATTTGTGCAGTCTGCATGATTTTTCACAGATCTTAGCAAGCGGTCCTAATTGCGTATGAACTATCCAGTAGAATTACATTTTTACAAAGTTACTGAAATCTTGAAAAATCGACCTTGCTAATGTTGTCAAACATATGGAGCCGAAACCATCCGATTTTTTCTAGTCTTCCAATTACAGTATTTTCTTCTTTTCTTTCTTTCGACATCAAGATTGCATACTCTAGATTTGTTCTAGCCCACTAATCTTCCGCTACTCTTTCTTGATAGCTAGTTGAAGACAGTCTCAATGAAAACTGTGTCTATAGACGAAATAGAATAGCCACGCAAGATGGCTGAATTGAATAGCACAGTAGTTAGTCTCACGCTATTCTTTCCGTGTTTACGAGCTTTCCTACGCATAGTCCGCTCACGGTACAGCCTAACAATAAACGTAACATCGGCTTCTCACTGAACCGAGTGCGTTAAACACCATAGACACGCGAACGATAGCGTCTAGCGTACAAGGGATCTCTTGTTTTACCTCTGCCCACCCGGCTCATCGCTATTCCTCTTTCTCGATAGCTACTGAGTAGCGTGGGAAGTTTAGCTGGCATAAACATGGGAGGCAAAAGGAAGCGGACGCGCGTTTATTCTCACGCTTGTTTCGTTCGTAGGCGTTATTAAAAGAAGCACGGAAGGAGATCGAGGAAAAGGATCAGGAGATCTTTCGATTAACGAAGGAGGTGGTGGAGCTTAGATTATACAAAGCTTCTTTGAATAGTCCAGACGAGAGGACGGATAGCAGCGATGCTCTCACTGTACGGGAAAATAATCCTTTCTCGCCGGAGTCCCCGACCAAGGATTTACCGGACGAGGGCACGGCCCCGAAGCCCGTTTGCCCGGAGACCCCGGAGAAACGCGGCCAAGACTTGCCTTCCTCTTTGGCAGATTCTGGACACTTCGAAGATGGTTCGATTCACTCGAAGGATTCGGTGTATTTGCCAGAGGTGCAGCCGGAAGTCGTCATCAGGACCGGAACACCCGGCAAAGTTGTCGAAGACAACACCTCCGACACGTCCGCCAGATCGACTACCCCGGAAAGGGACGAAGAGCGACGGAAGCTGGTAAATCTTTACGAGACGAGGATCGAGGAGATGCACCGTAGACACGTCGACGAGCTTCAAGAACTGAAGCAAAAGCACAATGACAAGGTACGTTCACCTTGAGAGTTAACACGTTCCGTGCCACGGAAATTTCGGTCGTATTTTGCTTATGAACTGTATTGATTTTTGAAATAAAATATTAAGGTACACTCAAGTTTTTGGTAATTTTTATATGCTTTGATATTGTTTCTTATGTGTCCCTTAAAAATATTTTCTTAGAAAAATTCGAATGTACCAAATGTGGTACACGTGGCACTGAACGTGTTAATGAAGCAAATAAGCAAACTTATTGTTTGGTTAGTGGATTATATTTTTCGATAATTTTGTCAGTATTACTTCGTCATAAGTATGATAGTTGTTCAAAGTATATACTTGATTGCAGGTGGAAAGCTTGTTGAATCAGTTAGCTGAAGTGAACACGCGTTATTGTGAAATCAGACCAAGTGTTGATGCTGCGGAAGCTCGAGCACGGGAGTTAGAATTAGAATTAGAGGCTGTGAAAACGGAACTCGCTGAACAGAAGAATTTGTTAAGCGAACAGGAAGAAAGAAATAAACAAATGTACCTGAAAATGTATGCCAAAGGTCAAGAAGCTGCACGCATAGAACAAGCAGATCAGGTAAACTGATACGACCAATTTGTAATTAGAGGAACTTCTTTTTAACACTTAATCGGCCAGTTGTTATACGAAAAGATTTTGTATGATTTACATGAAAAACGTGATCCTTTCCGGAAAAAATATATAAATTTATAAAGAAATTGATAATTGTTATAATTAATAACGTAGAAATGGCTTCAATCTACAACAAAGTCTAAACGGATATTTTTATTCGACCAGCCGGTTAAGTGTTAATATATCTCAAAAATGAGATATTATTATATAATGAGATGAATGTTTAATATTATACGTTTTATGTTTATACGATTTAAACTTAAAATGAATTTTTACTTATATCTTTATTTATGAACATAGATACTTGAACATGCACATCATATACCACCAAAAGCTTCTGTAGCGGAACTACTGCAACAACTGACAGTTACTCGAGCAGAATTAGAAAATGTCAAGGTAAATATATTGGTTTATTACTGTTACATTTTTAGTATTACAATAATAATACTACATGTATTGCACATTAAAAAGGAAATTACATATGTATATGATTTTTTATGCCTGACATCATATAACTGAAGCTTTATTTCTATGGCTACATAAAATAGCATGAATTATATTTTTAACGCGGTATCTTAGAATTTTCTACAATAAATATTACAACATCGAGATACATTGTTCATTGATCAATACAGATTTCATTCAACAGCAACAAAACATATAAAAATCATTATCTATATTTGCTGTGTATGTGATACAAAAAGTACTCATTTCTTCTTCAATTTATGAAACCTGTTTTGATAAGAAATAAGGCATTTCGTATTTTGTCTCGTTTATAATATCTCATTGCTTCCTTTTGAACCTTCATTTTCCTTATCCATCTGGCAAAACATAAATTACTTTCATATTTTTTGGTAAATACTATTCTTTAAATTTACTTTTGATTAGTTCTTTTTTTAATTTAATGTTTCATAACACAATAGGAAATTATAGTGTTTCGCAATTTATTAAATTTTTAGGTAAAGCGACATTTAACCAAATGTTTTTCTTAAACAATATTTGTATTTCTTAAATTGATTTGTTTAACGAATTTCAAATTTGTTCTATAAAATATATAATCTAAATACCTAAAAATGAAAGAGGTACAACATAGGAGTCTCTGTTATACTTCACATTCTGAGCATCCTTGTAGATCACGATTCTCTTGTACTAATAATGTACCACTTTTTTTGGTCGCCGCTCACACTCCAGGACACAAGCTACTCGCCTGAACCTCACATTTCAGCCGATCGTAGCCAAATTTTATTAAGTGCTCAGGAGGCTGTTTCTCTCTGGGTCCTTGGCACACGTAAGGTCTGTATTTCTGCTGAACTGCCACGCGATGCAATTCTTATCCACTGTTTATTAAGCATCTGCGTTGTGCTTGTTCATATACAGGATGCACTAGCAATCTTCATGCTCCTCCTTTTCTTCATTGTTTTCTATTTCTGCATTTTCCAGATTTTTTTTGCAAGATAATGTGTGTATTTCTATATTGATTCAAAAACGATGTTCGTTGTACAGAATGTTAATATTTCAATATTCCTAAATAAGGAACAGAGACATAGTTACCTGTTTATGCGAGATTTATTCTTTAAACGACCCCTTAGCTGTTACTTAAATGTTCGTATTTTACAACCATATTTTGTTATAATGCTAATATTACTTTCAGTTTTATTATTTGTATATTTTTTCATTACCAGTATAACACAAATATTCATTTTATATTTTTATGTATAAGTGTTCAGTTATCAGTTCAATACTAGAAAAAACCATGTATTGATAGTCTGTTATTCTCAGTTATAGTGTATGTTCACTCTATCTTTCATTTTTGTTGTTCATTTAAGCATGAACATGAGTTATAAGTAAATGTGTAACTAGATTGGTAAATAGCTTTTATGAGCATGAACATTTGCTCTTTCTCAAAGAAATAGACTTTGCATCAATTCTAGTTAGTAGGTGTTAATATAGTTTCCTAACTAGTCTTGAACATCATCGGAAATGTCATTATTACAAAAAAATTGTTGTAGCAACAAATTAAACCATTTTTTATCGCATTAGCATCTCATTATCGTAAAGCCTCTTCAATAATAAAATTGGTATTAAATATAAATTTTTTAATTGTATAATATAATTAGTGATACAACTACTATACAAGATTATATTTTAATGATTATAAAAGATTATACCTCGCAATATCTCTTAGATAATAAATGTAAAGACTATAGTGGCAGGAATTGGATCTACGTGTTACCATCAATGAATTGCCTTATAAAGACATGTTCTTAAAAAGTGTATTTACAAAGAAAATGCTTCGCCACAGCAATTGCATGCTGATTACCAAGCACAATTGTAGTTGGTTTGTACGCATTATTATTCAATTTGGGGAAACTATCCTGTGCACTTGGAAGAAACAGCCTCTTATTATCCTTTAGTCAATGTAAGTTTGCACGTGTTTAAGCATTATACATATGCCTCCAAACTATTACATCCTGAAAAACATTACTTAAATACTCTTATGTTAATATATACATACTTCTAATCAAAACGAATACAGTAGAACTTTGCATATTTCAATGTATTGTTTGATGAATACCTTAACGTATTCCACTATTAGAACAGTTCTATTACCTGAACAGAGTATGTTTTAGAAACACAGAACTCTATAGCATTTAAAACAGAATTAATAATTTAAGATACAGAAAGAATACAGCTTTACATAGTTATTTACATTGAATAATTAAAGCAATTTATCAGAAAAAAAATATGAAAT